AAGATATGTTGTATAAGCGGGTTGAAACTGACAACAAGAAGTGGAAGGCAAATATCACATTGCCTAATTACACTTTAGAAATAGTGGCGTTCCGCCTACAGCCGAAAACCAAGCAACACATTGACGGCTAATCAAAACTTCACGATGAAGGGAAAGAAAACCGAGTTTAAGCGGATTCGAATGTCGGTGATAAATGATGAACAATCGCACTTTCTGGGGCTCTACCTTGAAGCAGAAATTGATGTGTAGCTTGGTTGGGGGGGCAAGCACGTTGGCAGAGTGCATGTGAGTTGCTCGATGGGAAGGAAATGGCCATGTCACTAGACATTCACTAGATCCAACACGGCATCGGAACAAGACATGGTGCTATTGAGCGCAACAGCCTTAACCTTCAACCCTAGCAGCTTTAGGATGACGACTTCCATTTTCAAGGTTTAGAGGTTTGGGGTTGGTGGGTTTAGGATTTTGCTATGAGGGTGTCGATGCATGGTCTTTGGGTCGGCCTAGGGTGGGTCTTCGGGTGGGATTGGTCGAGTGAGTCTTCTAGGAGTTCGTGGTAGGGATTGGGGTGGTTCTGGTACGTGGGTTGAGATTTGGTCGTAGGGGCAGTGCTAGACTCAAAAATGGACATGGCCAACTAAACTTTCCACCCTAAACCCTAAACCCGAAACCCTAAATCCTAAACCCAATACCCTACATCCTAAACCCTAAACCCTGGTCCCGCCCCCGCCCCGCCCCCCATCCCTCCTGCCTTTCGCTGGCCGGGCTTGAGCCCATCCACAAGGCTCGGGATGGCCCTCTCCACGTCATACTTGGCCCACAGGACCAGCTCCTGCTTGAGTTAATTTAGGGGTTTGGGGTTTAGGGCTTAGGGTTTTAGGATTGCGGGTTTAGGTTGTTAGGGCTTAGGGTTGGAGGGTTTAGGTTGTTAGGGTTTAGGGTTTTAGGGTTTAGTTTTTAGGGTTTAGGGCTTAAGGCTTTTAGGATTTTAGGGCTTAGGGTTTAGGTAAAGGTTTTAGGGTTTAGGCTTTGGGGATGCTGTGTCCCTTTAACGGGCTTCTCGGGTCCTATGAAGGTCTAGGAGCTGCAGTCTCAACTCCTAATTTCCCTTAATAACCCCTACAATGGTCCAACTAGATAATCTCCTATGTAACCCCCTTGAAGGAGTGTAGATTCTGGCTCATATTGGGGCATCTAAGGTTTGGAAAGCGGTTATTTTACGCTTGCGGCGGGTCAGACCATATCAAGGTTTAGAGACGGGAGTTCTAGCCTAAAAATTGGAATCCGTTTTTGGTGAGCTCCTGTAATCAAGGGATCATTTGAAATTGGGTCAAGATTTGGGCCCCCCTACTTTTGGAACTTCCCATTGAGCGTTGTGGGAAAATGCATCAGAGGCTTTATGGCCGGCCGGTTTCGAATTTTATCTAGAGTTCAGGTTCAGGGCTCGTCAAAGCAGGAATACCTGCACAATCTTGGCAACTGTAAAGACCAAACGGATGTTTCAAAAAAAATGTGTTGACAGAGACATTTTCCCACCTACGATTTGGATGAAACCTGAGAGCCATCGTCTGCTAAGCAGCGGACTGCAGCAACCAAATCAGCCATTGTTGCCCGGAAAGCTCTACATTAGTTTAGGGTTTAGGGTCCCCTAAATCACGCTATATAATATGATAGTTTCTATTTTCTTTTCCATTATCCCTAAATGACACCAATGTGGTAGTTTCCATGCTCTTTTCCATTATCAATAGTGCTCCAAACCCCTCAAACTCTGAACTTTCCCAGGCACCAGCACTGTCCATGTGATCAGAAACTGGAAGTAGCTAGAAACTCGGAGATGCCCCGAGCCTTGTTGACAAAGTCGTCGTAACTGATCGTTGGCTGGGACTGAGATGCAACGCTGATCCGGCATGCAAGCTTCTGCACAAGAGAAAGCAGAAGCCCTTCAAACTTGAGAGCCACGGGCTGAGACGAAAGCTCAATAATGGAGAGGGTGATGAGACAGGACGTGAAGAGACAGAGCACATACAACCAGAAGAGCACGCAGCCCAGCCCTCACTGCCCATGGGAAAAAATGCAACCCTCCTACCGAAAGCCTCCAAAAAAAACACCCTCCAAGATCCCTCCAAAGACCCCCAAGGTCCCCCCAAGATCCCCCAAGATCCCCCCGAGATCCCCCCAACATCACCCCAAGATAACCCTCAAGAATCTAGCCCAAAAAGGCCCTCCGAGCCAACGCAGGAATATCCAGCCTGTGACGCAGGGCAACTCAACAAACCAGGCAAAATCCACCACACCACCCCCCCCCCTCCCACACCCTGCCAGGATCCTAGGCTCACTCCGTGAGGTAACAAACGAAGCTCCCTCCGGCGAGCTTTCAGGTTTAAAATCTCATGAAACACCATATAACCCCTAGCCACGCAGTTCAGCGATGGCTCATCTGCTTTACGGGAATGCTCTCACTGAGGATGAGGCATGGTCGACGTAGACATCACCCGAGCAGCCGGCTATCCACTCCTCACCACGTGCACAGAGATTCTCAAGATTTTAGATTTTCCTGCTTGCCCTTCCTACGTAGATGTTGTTGGAAGTCACTCATGAGTGGCAGCAATAGCTTTCAGGAGCGCAGCACCTGCACCAGGCTACTTTTGAACGCAGAGTGCAGGACACACCCAAACGCGCGAATGTAATAGTGAAGAGTGAAGAGTGAGGCAAGCCATGCTTTCAGACCTACTTCTTCTTGTCATGCCGGCCCACCGCACTCTGTCACTCTCCTAGGAAGCTAGAGACTAGTCACTGCCCTAGCTCACAGCCAAGCGGGCAATTGAACAGTCTCAACCTAGCAGGGTGCCAAAGCAGGTATAATACCTGGAAGTCTGCCCTTCCACTTTCAATCTTATGTGCCTAAAAACTAATGCGTACACGCACATGTGTGTATTTTATGTACACCTCAACTTACCTCTTGACTTGTGCCCTGCTGGCTTTGGCGCTGCTAGCACACAGCTCTACTGCAGCCTATCGGGCACAATGCTGAAGCTTCCTACGGTTACCGCCTGAAAGAGACATATCATGCAATCAATGGCAACTAGCTGTTGAGACGAAATTCGCTGAATGGAGCTCCAGATTTTCAATATCAACAGCAAAATACACCATCAATTATGTACTCCCAGCTTCCGCCTAATTTTCCATGTTTTTCCCCATTTGATTCTGAATTACAATGTGATCCGATTGACCTCCGCCTTACGGCTCAAGCCACTCACTCATCCGTCTTCGACACGCATCACCTAGCGGCTAACTGAAGGGCCACCTGGAGCCTACAGTTCATGGACAAAACCCTGCAGAACTGGTTTTGGGGTTTTGGGCTTAGGGTTTTGGGTTATCGTGGTACAAACAAAATCCCAGGGATTGAGCACCAGAGTATCAAGCAGGGTTTCGTTCTCGAAGTGTGGGTGCCGAGCTAGAGTTCTTGCAAGTACTTTTACAAGGGTAGGTTGGGGGGGCCCTATAAGAATTTGTGAGGATTATGTAGGGATAAAAGGCAATAAAAATCGAAAATGTTTTCAAAGCTACCCAAGTTTAGGTAACCCCATACTAGCAGCTTCCATTCTATTTTCCATTATCCCAATATAACCGCTATATAACCCAAATGTAGAGATGAAACCCTAAACGGTAAATAGTAGTTTCCATTTGCTCTTCCACTATCCCCTATATTCCCCTATATAGCCCCTATTAGGAGTAGAGATGCAGCCGAGCTCTGCTTCGGTGTGTATCTTTCTGTCACGATTGTCCCATGCCGTAACCATCCGGTCGCCATAACATTGTGGGGTCTCCCAAGATTAGGGCATTACAGGGGTCCCAACAAATAATAAGGACTATAGTAGTTTGGCTTCTAGGGGCTATATTGGGGTCCTCGCATTTATGGAAACCACTACATAGGGCTCAAACTCACGAGCTACTCCACACAGCTTGGATCGCTTCGTAACCTGGACTCCATGGTGCCTGTTAGAGAGGGGGGCATATGAGAACTAGTCTCAACTCCTCGTATCCCTGTTAATCAGCCCTGTAATAGGAACCCTATATAATGCCTATATAGCCCCTTTCAGGAGTTCAGACTACACCTCATATGCAAAAGAGACCAGTAGAGTGATTGTCTATGGGGCACCAGGTAGTAATCCAGATTTGAATCACAATTTCTTTGCGGTTGTGTCCAGCCTACACCTCAGCACGAAGACTTTGGATAGACCTTAACCATTGAATAATGGGATCGTATACTATGCCCCCTCACTTTCCCTCCCGAAATGAGAAAGCCCTTGAAAACCTGATTAGGCCTTATTTGGGGCGAGTAAGCCGGCATGTAGTACAGAGTCCTAGAAAGTTAAGGTTGGTAAGAAGACTTGCGCTTGGCCTTGGGTGGGGGTGTCGATGCTCTGCGCGCCATCCTGGCAACATGCCCCCATTGCTCAATTGGCGAACCTATATTCTTGGGAGGTTCCGTGTTGGCTTCAAGGGGTATGGAACTCCTGGACTGACGAAAACAGCCTCTGCATCTACTATGAAATCAGAGTTACCAGTGCTGCAACTAGCACTGCAATTGCTAGATATTCTGCACCGCATTCGAATAAGGCTGCTTCTCCAGGGCACTCGCCGAAACTTGGGTCCGGGCTCCACATCAGGAGGCACACCTCCCTCCACAACACCTCGGAAAAGATCGACCAGGTCTCTTTTCAGCCAAGCCGGTTTATGGCTATATTGGGGATATATTGGGATAATAAAAAAGAAAATAGAAACTACTATAATGGGTTGCTCAACTTTGGGTTAATGTGAAAACTTGAAACTGGATATTGCCAATGGGCTTCTGACACAATAAGATTGATGAACATGTTCAACAATGACCTAGGTCTAGGTTTCGGGGTTTAGGGCTTGAGGTTTAGAGTTGCGGCTTTGGGGTTGTGTTTTAAGGTGTAGGTTTGGATTTAGATGTATTTTGGGGGTCCAGGTTCTAGAGTTTTGGGGTGAGGTCCTTCAAACCACACCCATACCTCAGCATTGAAGCTCTACAGCTTCGTCCACCTGTGTACCACTCCAACCCAGGACTAAGATTTCAGGGTTTAGGGTTTAGGGTTTAGGGCTCAGGGATGGAGGTGTAGGGTAAGCTGAGGTGTCAAAAACACTTCAAAGCAATCAAAAAGAGCCAGGAAGCTGTAGACAACCAGAAGAAAACGAGCTATCATCAAAAAGACGCTCAATCACGGGAGAAGCGGAGATTTTTGCATGTTTTAAATGTGAAACAGAATTCTCGGACATCAAAAACATTCTAATCAAAAAGACGAAGGAAACACTTCCTTGGGTTTCCTACTATCTGCATCCAAAATCTATGATGTGAGCCATGGAAACCATGGACTCCCCAGCTTTACTTATGAAATCGTGGGTCCTCCTATGGAATTTGAGTAGAAAATCATCAGCCATTGCCTGTGATTATTGGGTTTTCTTGTAGGACTTCGAAAGTTTGAAAGTAGCGCCCTAGGGTTTTCTACTAAGACATCAATGCTTCTTCTGGACTTTCAATGATATTCCTAACGAAAGCTGTGGTTCTTGCTCTCCTTCCTTTTTTGCGTGTTATGTGTTGCTGGTTCCCACTTGTGTGCCTCAAACATTCCCAGGAAATCATACAAAGCCACTGACATTCTAGAAAGAGCAGTGGTTCTTTATTGACAGTCATATTTTTACGTCCCGAGCACCGAACTATCAATGATTTGGTTGGCAAATGCTGGGAAGTGCAGGAGTTCCATGGCTCACATAATGGTTGACGGAACTCTAATGGGAACCCCAAACAGGGAACCCCAAGAATATAGTAAGAATATAATAGAATATAAGGACCCTGGTAGGTTTATGCCTACTATATTCCTACTATATTCTTGGGGTTCCCTGTTTGTGGTTGCCATTGCAGTCCCTTTAATGGTGTTTGGATGGAAACTCGTAGGAAACCAGAGGACCACATGTAGCACCCCTTCATAGCTACAGTGTTCGGTTCATGGTCCATGTTCCTAGTTGTGACTAAAACCCTCAAACCCTGAATCCTTAAATCCCTAAACCCTAACCCTAAACCCTAACCCTGAACCCTAACCCTAAACCCTAAACCCTATGATAGTTTCCATGTTGCTTTCCACTCCCCAGACCCTAGGAGTGCAGCCTAAATGGTATCTTCAAATTTACTGTAATTCCCATGGTAACCCTTAGCCCTAAGCCCCAAACCCTGAAATAGATGTATATATATATATATGCACACACACACATATACACATATATATATATGAATAGTTTTACTATTTGTTTATCTTTCTATTTATGGTAGCTTCCATTTCATGTTCCATTCTCCATTAGATCTTCCATGATTAGGATCATGTCCCCATACAGTCCCTGTACTGTGCTTCAGAGGCTTAAGGGGCTTGACACACTCAAATGTATGTGTGTATATATATGTATATATATAAGGTATGCATATATGAATATAGATACTTGTACGTAGTCCTCTAGGCGCGTAGGGGCTTCAGCACTCCAGAGCACAAAGGTCCGCACTTGCGACCATTTCTGGTGGACTTGGCGGATCCTTGCGTTTAGAAGACGCACCTCAAAGGAGGCCATGCGCGTTATGATAAGCCCTATACTTTCGCATCAGACTCTAAAAAGCATGTACAGTCCCCTATGGTCCCTTACTGCTGTAAGCTCTCTTGTGACGTGCAGGCAAGCAGTTGAGGTCGCTGAGTTTGGAGCCTGCGTCCGCAGATTGCAGCTGTAGCCTGCGCCAAGACCTCAAAACAGCGGGTCGCTCCCGTAACTAGCACAGAACTCCATGCAGCCCCCAGTTTCAAAGGGACGGTAATCTTTGTAGGGCCCTCTCCTCGGCTTCTATATTAGTTTTGGCAGGATAGTTGCCGTTCACTGGTGGATATCCCACACATAACCCTTCGTCGGTCCTTGAAGGAACCTCACAGAATCATCAGCAACAGTAAGGTCGCTGCGGCACGGGTGCAGGGACCAGTGCTTCCAACGGGCACCTGGCTCAGGCTACACAGTCTGGTACAAGGCCATGTGGGGGTTTCCTAAAATTAGGTGTACCCTTTTTGGGGGTCCCCATAATAAGGACCATAGTATTTTGGGCTTATCTTGGGAAACTACCATGTAGACCCCAATCTCCCACAAAAAATGAAAGAACTTGAATCCAGACGCAAGGCACGAAGCTCTCATTGTCACCTCAAGCTCCCAACCCATGCCAACTCCCACCCCCAACCTTTATATCCGATATTCAGGCCAAACTAACCCTAAACTATAACCACTACCATGAGCCGCCCTCTACACTAGAAGTCTCTAAGCTAGCACCAAGAAAGACGTGAAACATGGCCCCCCCGATCCCAGGCCGTCGTAGACTGCCACGCCAAGGCGCTCGGCCATGTCAGCAATGACAGCTCCCAACACCGCTGCAAACTCCGAGCCCCAGGCCCAACCTCAGCTCAAAGTGTGTAGGACCTTTATCCATACAAGGTCTGGAGGCTCCTCAGAACCTCACTCGCACAAGGACTACTAAGGAATAACTGCTGACCATAACCTTCATGACTTGGGAACTGACAGAAGGAAGGCTAGCTCGGCCGCAGGCCCCATGCTTTGTCCCAGTGGAAAATCCGGAAGTCCCAGTGCGTTGCGGAGATCTGGTCGATCCTGGAAATGCATAGCTAAGCGTATGTTTCTCAAAACGCTCAAACGACATCTGGCTCCGGAGGACAAGGCCGTGGCCGAAGGTTGAGATGTGCATACGCTTCGGTCTTAGCCGACATGCAGCAATGACACATGAGCCATAGTCTAAACTCCAAACTCCAAGTATCCCCTTTAAAAAAACCCTATAGTAGTCCTCTATATAATCCCCTATCTAAACCCTCTTCAAGGAGTTTAGACCCTAGACCCTATATAACCCTATATAACCCTATATAATCCCCTATCTAAGCCCCCTTGAGAAGCTTAGATTATGGCTCACCTGAGGACTCTTTATGCGCAAGCTGAGGCCACTGCCATGCTAGATGAACCTGCTGCAGCTCGTGCTACCTGCTATTGGGATAATGGAACAGAAAATGGAAACTACTATCATGGATGTATATAGGGTTTAGGGTTTAGGGATAATGGTTATCTTGGGATAATGGAAAAGAAAATGTAAATTACAGTGATTATAGAAGGATTCTATTGGGGAATATGGGAATATATAGGGGATACATTGGGATAATGGAAGAGAAAATGGAAACTACTATATTATATATGAGTTATATTGGGGCCATATTGGCATAGCCAGAACAGGCCACTTGCCCCAACTTACACGATTGTGGTTACCCCCAAGCCCTGAAATTAGGACTGTATTCTAGTCATCCGGTAAATATGAGGGGGGATTGGGAACCTAAACATCCCTACGTAAGATGCCTGTAAGACACCGCTTTCCATTTCACTTCCTTTTCCACTTGATTCTCCATTATGGGAGGGCAATCTCCCTGAACCCTCACTCGTACCCTAGATCCTTCACCCTAAACCCTAAACCCTACATAGCAGTTTCCATTTTACGCTCCATCATCCCCATATAACCCACAAAAGAATCCCTACAAAACCCAATATAGACCTATATAATATAGTAGTTTCTATTTTCTTTTCCGTTATCCCAATAAAGAACCCAAATCCTAGACCCTAAATAGTGGTTCCCATTGTCTTTTCCGTTATTCCTGTATCACCCCCTACAGAACCCAATATAGACCCCATTAAGATCATATAACCCCTATAGAACCCCGATAATCCCTATAGTTTCCATGTTCTTTTCCATTCTCCCAATGTTTTACTAAACCCTAAATCCCTAAATCCTAAAACTTGTCTCCTGTATCACCCCCTACAAAACCCAATATAGACCCCACTAAAATCCCCTCATCCAACTTGCGACGGCCTGCGAGCACTGCAAAGGCAGGCCCTCTGTCATGGCTCCAACGAGGTTCACGTAAACCTTCGTCCACCGAAGCACTTAGAAGGGACTATAGGGGTTCTATTGGGGTTATATAGGGGTTTATACTGGGATTGTATAGGGTTTAGCTTAGGGTTTAGAGCTTCCCAACAATTAGGGGTACATTATTTGTGGCCCCCATCATCAGGATTATAATATTGTGAGGTCTATATTGGGGGCACCCTGTTTCTTGAAACTATCATATTATTAATATGTGTTTGCCTACATATTGGATCTTACTCTTCATGCAAACGACCATGTCCGCCCACTATTCCTATGTAATACCCAATATTTTGCGACCATGCAGTCACCGAAGCCGCTGTTGGGGCCGAGAAGCACAAATGCCCGCCTGGCACGCCATACAAGCAAGCTCACGTGCAAAGAAGATCATGGCCAGTAAAAATATTGTTCTGTCTGCATATAGACAGTTTGGCCCTACAGCAGAAAAGAAAAAAATCCGAGAATCAGCAGATTTGTGCAAACCAACCTTGTAACTAACTTTGCGTGCATCTGTCACACATAACTGCAAAGTGGGACGGAAGTGATGCTGAGCATCTGAGCAGCTTATGTTGGGCTGTCAATCTCGCACGTTCCGAGGCACTATCGGCAACAGCGACACGACAAGTAGCTAGTTGAAAAGGCAAGTGGGAGCGGAGCTTCTGGTCTGGTCTGTATTCAGGCAATTCCCTCCTTCTATTGAAACCCCCCCCACCCCCCATACTTGCAGCAAACTATAGTCTATTGGTGATATTTGATATTAGCAGGGGTTGGGGGTTGTCAGATTCGGGGGAAGAATTACATCCTCCTCCGCAACCCAACCAATATCAGAGTGAAAATCTCAGAACTTTCGCCATCGCCTTGTTGCTTGCGTTTACCAGGTTACCATATGTGGTAGTTTCAAGAAACAGGGGGACCCCAATATAGAGCAAGCATAAGCTAACCCCACATCTTACATCCTATACCCCCCCCTACACTTCAACCCATTTCTCAACCCGCCTAA